TGATCTTTCATGTGATTCCTGTTGATGAGTCTTTTTTAAAACATGTGAGCAAAATTCTGTCAAATGTAAAGTTTTACATGCTGGTTTGTCCTCATCATATTCGTCTATAATATTTTCAAGTGTTTGTGCATTCTGCTCCATTTCATCATCACTGGAGTCTGTGATGTCTCCAAATAAAGTGTCCTTAAAGAGAAAAATGTAAATATTAACATAGTAATAAATAATGTATAGTTGTTACAAAACTTAGCCTGGGAAGTATATTGCTTAAATATCAGAAATGCTTAGAACAGTGATGGCGAACCTTTTAGAGACCGAGTGCCTAAACTGCAACCCAAAACCCACTTATGTATTGTCGGGTGCCGGGTGGGCGTGGCCCATTGGGTAAGCGTGGCTGCGGTGGTAACGGCAGACTGGGTGGGACTAAAAAGTTCAATCAATCAATTCCAACTTTGCGACAACTTTTTTTTCCCCGTGAGAAGTTGAAATTGATCGATTGATTGAATCTTTTTTTTTTCACACGGTGGCAGAGGCCTAAAGCAAAAAGGTTTTATAAAACCCAGCTAAAGGCCTAGGTTTTATAAAACCCAGCTGAAGGCCTAGGACTGGGGCGACGGCTCGCGTGCTCACAGAGAGGGCTCTGCGTGCCACTTGTGACACGCGTGCCATAAGTTCGCCACCACGGGCTTAGAAGTATTCCGGGCTGATATGGCACTGGAACAGGCTTATTTCATCTGGAATATTGTGTCCAAAATACTTCAAACCATTTTTGATGAACAACATTTTATTTTGGAAAATATGATCTGCCTCCAGAATAACATAATCTGGAAGAATTTCAGCAGAGTCAATAGAAAAAATGAACATTTTGGAGTTCTCCGAAACAATCTAGTCACATGTCAACAAATTTTGCTTGGATAGTTGCAAATGATATAACTGAAATATGTTTTGTTCCACATGCACTAATTCTGTTGTATCAATTTCATCGCTATCTCTATAGAAAAAAAGTATCTATTCAAATTCTGAAATTCTTGTCTTTGAAAAAGTTTCTTTTTTTCCCCAAGAAAGAAGTTCATTCTTGAAACTTATAAAACTTCTTTACCAGATACAACTGCTGGCTAGAAGCTCATCAGAGACATCAACGTCTTTTTCATGTTACTTTTAGTCAACAATTATCTCCAGCCAGAGTAGTCTTGACATGATTTCTAAAGTTAAATAAGTTAAATATTTAATTTTATTCCCCTTTTGGAACTTACCGGAGTAGTAGCAGGTGAAAACTGTATGGGTGACAGTAGAGGAGGAAGAGGACTAATCCATTTCAAAACATCTCGCAGACTTTCACCAAACTCTTCCTGCTCCTTGTTGAGAAGTTCCATGTTACTTGTTGCAAAATCTGCTTCAGCAAAACCATCTAGACATCTGTCTTCATCAGAAACATCACTGTTGTTCGCTTTAGTAGTCTCCATAAGTTTGTTTTCTATCAGGTGACTATTTCCAGCATTTTTTTTGTCCGCCTGTATCTTCAGTGATGTTGGAGACGTTCGCATTGTAGAGGGCTCTGATGAAAAAATAGAAATCCATGCTCCTTCAGATTTCTTCACTTTTTCAGGATTCTGCCCTCTTTCTATAAGACAAAAACAAAAAAAATCTGTGATGTATTTTATTTCCATTCCCTGCAAGTTTAGGATAGCAAAAATATACTTTTCAAAATGATTTGTGCCAGTTGTTAAGACTGTTAGCCAAAAGATATTTCCCTTCCCCTTTAAATTCCAAGAGCGAATTATATATAGGAGTAGATGTTAAGGTTAGTGTCACCTAGAGAAGGAAACATTCCTGTGCTGTCTCCAAATAAACTCTTTCATTTTTCACTAGTTATTCTTGTGAAGAAAAATGAAAGGACTGCCCATTCCTCCCACCCTGGGGAGCCTGTCTCATATTAATATATGCACACTATAGTAGCATTATAAAGCTACTGCAATATACAAGCTCACCAGAAAACATCCTTCGAGCTAAGAGGCATTTTTGACTGTAAACAACATAAAATCCCTTTTCTGCAGAGATCAAGCCTGAGGATCACATTATTATTATTATCTCTACTCCAGAGTTTTATCTCCACAGATCAAAAGAACTCTAACCAAGTAGGATGGAATCCCTTAATATGATTGTTTCTCCCAGAAGTGACAAGGAAGAGAGTGTAAGTGCTGATCTTTCTTAAGTATTGATAGCTATGGGGGAATTGTGGGTATGTATGGCAGGTTCACAGAGTATCTTGGCATAATCCCACATTCTTAAGGGAGGCTGGCCATCTTTTTTTATTTCTGTCTCTGCTTTTCTCTTTCAGACAAAGAAACACAGGGGCAGATTACAATGCAGTCAGACACAGATACACAAGACTGGCACACGATAAAAAACTGACAGCAAATACACAGAAAGAACAAAACACAAAGATGAGTAGGTTGGAGAGAAAGAAGGGGAGACAAAAGAAGGGAAGACAGAGGCACAGGAAACAGATAAACAAATGTAAAAGTGAACAGGGAGAATATTGCATTTAATCTCTTATTCTAAGCTGTGTTTGAGTTGGGAGGCTATATAGGTTTCTTTAAATAATAATAAATAAATACGTTTGGAAATTACTTACTTGTCTTTCTACGTGTTTCTGAAGGAACATGAAAGCCAGCAATTAGAGAGGGAGGGAAAAAAAGCGTAAGTGAGTGTTACTTAAGATTAAAAATATGAGAAGTTTTTTTAATTACTTTAAATTTCCTTTAAAACACTGGTACTTGATCTCACCTAATGCACGCTCACATTTGTTGATCTGCTTTTTTCCTGTAGAGCTTTCTATACACTGCCAAAGCTCTTCCAACAGAAATTTAATTTTTTCTGTAAAAGAAATCCACATCATTATAATGTTTACATGTAGTTTGATGTGCTGGGACATGGCATATATGCAATCCAAGACATAGATAAAAAGAAAAATTCAGGTGGATAATTGTGCTATCTCTCTAAACAAAAATATGAAGCATATCTCCAACATGTTAAGATATACAGTAAATACGCCAAACAAGGGGCATATGTGTAGAATATACTCAATTCAGGAAAGCCACTTTTTGAAGTTTGAAAAAAAAAGATGTTGGTCATCAAAAAGTCAATGCCCAAGGCCTAAAGTATAACACATTAACAAAAAGAATGGAAAATCACAGATATCCTAGACCCCAGTGAGCTCTTTCTACTGGACTTTCTTGCATATATAATTGATGGAGATATAAAAGTCATTGTCACAAATAAAATATTGTTTTTCTTTTACTGTATACAGTTTAATCAGCAATGAAGATGGGTATAAGAAACAAGAGATTTCCAGTAACAATAGCATCATGGAATATAGATCTATGTTTGCAGAACATATAAGACTTAATTAAGGGATCCTAGAGAAGTCCAAAATAGATATCAAAATAAATATTTAAACACAAAATCAGAACTCAGTTTTATGTATATAAACATACATTCCTGTATAATTTTGATTTTATCTAAGTGTTAAGTCATAAGACTCTTTTTTCTTTTCTACAACTCTCCTGAGTTTTGCCCCTCCTTGGAGAATTCAGGCTATTGGTATGATAAACAATACCAAGAAGTCAAGCACGTCAATTTAAATTGCATCATTTCCTTGTAATTTCTGCTAGTCTCTTCATTAACTAAATAACGAACCTAGAAATGTAATAAAATGTAATTTTTAACCTGGTTTTTTTCTTAGCATTCAAATTACTATGTTCTGTACTACCTGCATATAAAAAAACACATAAATTTAAACCATATCACCTGGGATAAGGAAAAAAGACTACTTTAAGTTGACTAAGCAGGAAAGCATTTGAAAGAACACATTTTCCTTCATTTTCCCTCTCAGACATTATCATGTACATAAAAGATACTTGTTTTCATAGATGTGCAAGGAGAATTTTTAAAAACTAGTAACTTTTATGTGTTTGCTTTCATAGGTAGTGATTTGCACTTATAAATGGCAAGAAATTAATTCTTAAATAGTTTTATTTTTAATTAATTCTACAGCTTGCTGCCTCTCTCAGACATTTTTTATTGTGTTAAATTCAAACAGAGCAAACTCAGCACAGAATGTCCAATCATCACATTGCCACTTGTTAAAAATCTCAGATAACTGATTTTGTGCGAAAAGTTGATAGGACCAATGATTTCATTCCTAAAATATCAAATAATTTCTACCTGCCACTTCCTTACATTCTTCCTTCCCAAATTTCTCCACTAGCTTCATAACCAATCTCCAAACTTTGCTTCTTTGCCATGCCTGTTATTTACAATATCTTCCAGTTTTCTACCATCACACTGGGTTTTTTTTTCTAAAATGGGGTAAAGTACTGATTTCTCTTTCTGTTCCAATGCTTTTAACTCTTCATTATCTTCACAATCTGTACACTTGTGCTCTTGCTTTCAGGTGAACAGTGGGACAATCTCTTTATCCTGCATCTCACTCTCAATGTTTCAATAATTTTAACATTGCGGTGGAATACACAATAAATGTTACATCAAGAAATCTTTACAGCCTTCGGAAAATCTCCAATTTGTGGTCCTCCTGCAAAGAATTAACCCTGGCCAGGCAGGAACCAATGGTTCCCATGCTAAAGAGAACCACTATATCATCATAGGTTAGGTGATTTCGAGGGTCATCAGGAGAATGGCTAAGTAACCACTGAGTTTGAAAAGTAGGAGGAAAAGCCCTAGCATTCACACTGTGGATCAGAAAGATTTGTCTTCTGAGCAAATAATCTCATAATGGTTTCATCATGCTTGTGATAAAGAGACTCTGTCCTAAATAAGGGGATTAAGTGTCTGGAGAGCCTAGATATATAGGCTGACTGAAAACCTGACAATCCATACATACCAAAGCATCAGAGCCTTCTACTGAATAATCCAACTATACCAGTTACCAAAGAACGGAAGAATAATCAACGGCAATATATGCAAGACTTACATATACTAACCTTTGTCCACGTTTGTTACCAAATTCTCACTCTGGGTCTCTGCATTTTTCAACACTGAGAGGAAAGAGAAGCAGCTATATCACATTAAAAATTAAACTGTGAATCAAAATAAAATATTTCCTCCCCCACCAAAAGAGAAACAAATCATGAAAAGTCACCTTTCTTTTGCTTTGTGTTAGAGAAGCCATCAATCTTTTCCTATTAATCAAAAAGGGGAGAAAAGCAATTTAAATTAATGGATGTACACAATCTGCGGTAGTGACACTGAAAACGATGTCTGATTTTGTTTTCCTGTGAACTACTAAAAACATCAAAGTGGTCTTTGTCAGTCTTCAGATGCCTTTGAAATATACTTCTCAGAATTTCCACCAGAATGGCAATAAGCTATGCTGGGAAGGAATTCTGGGAATTGTAATCACAATATATCTGAGAAACATTGTGTTAAAGAATGCTACTTTGCATGAATAATATCAAATTAGAAACATCCAGTTTAGGACAATTTATTCTTACAATTGTTAAATGGTTAAACAGTTGGTCTTTGCGACCATGGTCTTTGCTACCACCTCCCTCTAGTTTGTCATGCATTTTGCTTCTTTCTTTGCCCATCCAAATTTAAGGCTGTGGTTGGGGCAAACCTCTTCCCTCCATGCACCCGAAGATACCATGCATCCTGGATATTTTTCAAATATTACCATTATCATCACAAAGCAGTTAGTTGGAATAACCATCATTTCTGCAGATGATATTTCTCTTGCCACACTGACCACCAAAATAAGAAGCTATAAATCCAACAGTTCATTTCCACAGTTTTAGTCCCCTTCTTGCATTAGTAAACTTATCAAAATAATATGCATGCCTAATACAAATGTGAGGAGCAATGGAAGGTGTCCTTCAGTTGTGGGAATTGTGCCCAAGAGGGTACAAGACCTTCTTATATCTCACATGACTCCTGACAACATTCATTCCTTATCTTAGAACACATTAAATACCCCTGTCATGTTAAGTGACTACTTACAACTTAACAGTACTACAAATTTTAGTCTTTTTTAAAAAAGAAAACTGTGTATGTAAATTATTGCTTTAAAAAGTTACCTGTGCTTTCTTCAATTCCCTCTCAAGTACTTTCTTCTCTGCTTTCAGTTGTTTAAATTCCTGAGTGTGCTTTGCTGCGGCATCTTCATTTAAGGAAACAAAGTAATAAAAATGCATTAAATAACACAGACAGCTTTCAAAATTATGGCAACAATCTATCAGTGCACTTGGATGTTAGTACCTTTCGGTTTGGTTTAGCCTTCTAATATTTATTCACGGATTGCAACACTGAGCTCTGTACCAGTATGTATTTCATTAGGATTTCATCACACTGGATGTGTGTACAGTTTTGCTTTGTTAGAGTCACAGTAAAACGTGAACAGCAGACATCAGTTCCACAGCTTTTCACCAAATGTATAAACAAAAAACTCCATGTGCTTGGAGTGCCTTTTTGGTGGTCTCACAAAACAAAATGATTCTTAGTGAATAAAAGTATCTGAAAGAAACTGCTCCCATATAATAAGTTATATGATAAATATGCAAAATGCATATCCAAAATGATATTTCTTATACATCAGTACTTCTTCCAAGGTTTCCTGACAGACCATAAAATACAAATATTGGACATAATGTTTACATTATACATTTTCAGAATGCAATATGTAGATTGAGATTTCAGGTTAGTCACTATCTAATCAAATTCATTAAAATATAACTCAAATATGTATATATATAGTGACCACAATTGGGATCAGCAACTCTGTTATTGATTCGGTCGTAAAGCAAGCATCATGTGACTGTGCATGACCTACTGGCTGTGATTGTTAAGCAAATCATTGCAGTCATTAAATGCAACATCATGTAACTATGATCTGTGAATTCCTGCTGGCTTCCCCAATGACTTTGCTTGTTGGAAGCCAGCTGTGACAGTTGTCAAGGGCCTGAATTGCAATCACCTGATCACGGGGACGTGACAATGGCCACAAGTTTAAGGACTGTCATAAACTTCCTTTTTCAGCACTGTCATAACTTACGATGGCTGAATGAGCAGTCAGTAAGTAAGAACTACCTGGATTAAGGCAATTGTAAATTCAATCTCAAGCACCCTGCGGTCTCTCAGCAGCATAAATGGAATTTGATAAACAGTCTTAGTTTGCTTCTTAACTTTCAAGCAGACATGTATTGCATGGAGAAACTCAGTGAATAGAAGCTTAATTACAAGTAAATGGACCTAAAATTTGGTGTTAATGTTTGCTGACATATACACAAAATTAATTACTAACCGTTATTAATTTAAGTTCTGCAAATATTGCAATCTGCTTCCACATAAAAGTAATGATGCTTTCCAAATATGTATCAGAGAAAAAAACATTTAGGTGCTTGCATTCTCAGACTCTGTACTGGATCTCCAGGGATAACCCAATTTGAAATTACTGCTCACAGTGGCTTGGCTGAACCACACAACTAGAGGTTTTCAAACCTCATCACCCAGAAACCTTATTCACACCTTGGCTTCACCCTATAAGTTTGGGCATATCCTTGGCAGTTCCTGCTGCAGCCATCCATTTTTAAGGGGTGTGTCGCCTGATCTCCTACTCTTAAACCCAATGGGTTATCACAACGAGTTTGGATGGGGGTGTGGTTTTTCTGCTTGTACCTTGATTAGGGTATTGTTGGCAGGGTAAGCTACTGTGTATAAACAGGGAGCAAACCCTACATGTACTCACACTGATGTTAGTTAATTAGGTAATGAAATGTCTGCAAGCAAATAACCAAGTTTAGAGAATACCAAGAACTCCACAAAAAGGAAGTTCTCTTTTATGACTTCTAGACCACTGAAATTTATTTTCTTACGTATGGGTTAAAGGAGTGTTTCCCAAACTTTTTCCTTTACTACCCAAAACCATTTATCAGAAAGTTGTTTTTTTTTTTGCTCAATGTAGGTAAAACACTTTAAGTTAATTTAAATATTTTTGTTCTGTTTGGGTAATTGGTTCGTATGTCATTAAAGAAAAAAAAAAAACACTTTTATCTAATTTTGGATAATTTGCCCAGATATGGGACACACTGGGTTACAGTGAATCCCACCTTATTTCACACCTACTTTTTCAATTTAAAATAAAGAAAGAAGAACTAAGTTGAAGACAATTGTTGTGGATTTGTCTTTGCAGCAATGCTTCAATTTTTTGCCAGAGAGACAAACCAGTGAGATAATGTTCCACTTTCTTCTCCCCAAAGAATATAAGAGCATGTTAGCTTTCCATCTTTTTCCTTTATTAATGTTGATAATTAAGACAATGGATAACATTAGTAAATGGATCCTTTAACCCTCTATATAGTGCACGGCATTGCATTAAATATATTTACCTAGTTTACAGGGATGAAGATGAGATGAGTTTGAGAAACAAGTTTAATTTTATGGCCAAAATCTCTTTCTGTGTATTTAAATATCTTTTCCCAATTATACATTTGTGTTATGATTATGAAACATAACCCAGCAATAATAAAGACTAAAATACCTTCAAGCTTTTTCACTTTAATTTCTAATTTTTTCTTCCTGGAAGTATAAAATAAACAAAATTTTAAAATACGTATGTGAAAAACGAGCAAAAACTTCTTCAATATATATTTTTGTTTTTGTTTAATTTATGTAATCTATTATGTTTAGTTCAAAGTTGCATTTTAGATTTAATTCTATTTCACAATTTGGTTAGAACTGTTGGCTGCCCACAGTCTTCTTTATGGATAACAACAATTGGATTTGCGGAACCATTAAAAAAGGGGTGTTGTTCTGTAAGGGTGAGTGAAGTACCTATTCTTTTAGCAGCAAAGCAGCCATGTCATTTGAAAATTTTCAAAAGCTACTCTGAGCTATCTGCATGTGTTGCATATGCATACTCACTTTGTTACTCTGGTGGTACTACTGGAAGTGTTGTCTGTGCATACTCAGAGACACACTTCAAGGACAGATGCTTTGCATGTGTTAGTATGCTTTATTGAGGGGCCCTTTCAAATATTTTGCACATCCCTATTTAAAGACTGCTCACAGCATACAATAAACTCATCAAGAGAAACAGGAAGGAAAATTGGGGAGAAAACTTGCTAACCTGGTTGGCAACTAGCCTGAGATATCTGCTTCTCCGAACTAGTGGAGGGTACAGAGTAAAATCTACTTCTCTCACCAAGCAAAAACTATTTGGTTACACTATCATCAGAGAAGAGAAGGCAATCTACGCAAAAAGGGAATGAGTCATCAGAAAGTCTCCATTTTGCATGGAATAGTTCCCTAAGTGGTATGCTTCCCTTTATAGGAATTGCATTTCTTTTTCTATAAAAATTGGAATGTTCTGGTCTTGCTAATGTGAAAGAATATTAACCAATTCTTTCCCTCTTTATCTAATCTGCCAAGGAAGTCAATAACCCGCCTTGCCCAAAGGTCCATCTCTCTCTCCCTCTCTGTCTTTCTTTTTACCTTTAAAATTATAGGAAGAGCTTGGATGATTATTTGAATGTTTTAATTAAAAAGAAGGCAAATGCAGCCTACATCCATTAGTTAGTTCTCCATTATAATGACTCACACACTGTCACTTTTATCCATTTCTTCTCTCACTCGAACATATTCCAGATGAGTCTCTTGGTATATCTTAAGTGAACTCTAAAAAAAGACGACATGAATACATTGTTGATCTATGTATGTATAAGCATTTAGATGGAAATTTCTGTGTTCATATATCTTTTGGACAATTCATCTATGTTTATTAATTCATACCATGGCCCTGCAAAACCTCACATTACTGTATAATAATCAGCCGTAAGGCATTAACATGTTTATTTTTTTATTTTGTGCCTATGGTGACCCATATTAGTTTCTCAATGTGCATCCCAAAAGCATTGAAGTGTTCGTGCTATATTTAAGGATGGGGCAAAAGGAGGCCTGTGGAACTGCTAATGAAGTAAAAATCCATGACTAAAGTCACCCATCCACTCACTAATGTTCACTGGTAACCGTCCTCATGGAATAGCCTGTATGTTCCTCACCAGAAGTCCAACAATGTACTAGGCATGAGATGATACAAATAATATACAATCATAATTACAGTTATAATTTAAAGCTGCTAGCCCAACAAATGAGTGCAAGCTAACTTTTCAAGTCCTAGTCTT